GTTAAATATGTCAATTTAACAAACAGATTATGTAACATCAAACAGCAATTCTTGGCTGGCCATATGGATGTATATGCATATTGGGATGCAGTATCCCATTTAACAGGCTATTGAGGATTGTCATAGATATTGAATGTATTGTTAATTTTGATATTGTATGTATTGTTGAAATAAAAAAAAAAATGTAGAAAGACTTACTTTTTACTACTACATTCAAGGGGATCTTATTTCACAGGGAACAAAATTTCAGGGACATCTATTGTCTTGAGGATTATTCCGCTTCAGTGACTTGTCCACCTAGAACAATAGGTGGTGGATAAACGAGAAGACCCCTTTGGCTTGGTAATCATTTATAGTTACACCATACCAATATTTTTTATTCATCAGCATTTAGTCAAAAACAAGTAAACACGATACATAGAATAAATTTCTTTATCTTTGTGAAAAATATAATCACTCAAAATGTAACAGTGCGTGGATTCCAGTGTAATTATAAGTTGATATGTTTTTCAGTTCCAAGAAAAAGACCAGTTTTCTGTCCGCACTGCCAGTCGTTTGTTTCAAGGAAACAAGGAATCCGTCTTGAATGGACGGCAGTTTCTCATCAGGTTAGTCGTCAAAGATACTTCACTTCATAGGTTTCACATAACGACTTAAGTTTGATCTGTCCCTTTGTTATCCATCATATATCAATAACGAATATATTTATTTATTGTATAGCAGATATGTAACTGTAACTGAAAGTGAATAAGTTGCACTACACATTTTACAGTTGTTAAATTAAAGTAAAGGTCACATTAAAAAATAATATTTTATGTTATTATATTGTTGTGAATGTTTCCTTAGAGGGTTGATAAAACTAAGAAATACCCACGATTTTTCATTCATGGGAAATGTTAGGTTTTGTATGCTTTTCTAAGTTGAGTTGGTCATTCAATTTGAAATGAATAAGATCACATATATAATCAGGTGTTACATTCAGTGTTTAAACATGATTCGTATCTATTTAAAATATGTATGTACCGTCTTACCTATGCTTAGATTTCAATTGGCGATTTCGTAGTAGATGTTACCTTGAATATGAGTACAGTAACAGTAATAAATATTACCACAATTTGCTTCAGAATACATGGGTTGGCTACTATTTTCTGGTACCAATCAATCAAATAAGTGACATGTCCAATGGAAGATACAATATACATGTATACTACAGATCTTTCCTTTGTGATTGTGAAAAATCTTTTGGTTACATCTACAAATTAGTCGTTCTAATTTTATAATTTCATTGTGATCAGATGTACCACTGTGCATGTTTTGAATATGTATACATGAGTTACTTTGGCTGTTTTGTAGTTTTACTAAGCATTGTATGTATTGTATTTGCAGGATGATGCAGAGTCTGTGTGGGACGATGAGCATGGCAACGATGTTTGTGCCAGACATCAACCAGGACTCTTCATATTCACCCACAGATCTTAAGTAGAGCATACACCATCTGTTTGCAGTTGTGGACTGGTTCAAGCCTTGTTTTAATCAACTTGGTTATATTTCCCCTTTCTCTGTGTGTGGCAAAATAAATGTCTCATCTCAGGCTCTGCTTCATATGTACCAGATCAGAGGATGGCTGTCTGCTCAGTATGAGTGCAATAGAAGCTTCATGATTGTCAACAAGTTGCCAGGTCTTTACTATTTGAGATTGTTAGTGTGTATATGTTAAGATACATTGAGGCAGCTTCAAATATACATTTCATGTATATGGGCCCATGACCTTGCATACAATAAACATTTGAATTTGAAATCTGTTTAATAAATACCACAGCAAGTATGTTATGCCTGCACTAGTAGACATCATTTCATCATATGCATAAAATGTTGTAGGGTTTTGACATATTTGTATTTGCATATTCATACAGAAGTTGTGTTCTCCAATGCTCAAGATTCCCTCTTGATGTGGCTTCTCACCTACCTACCTACCTACCTACCTACCTACCTACCTACCTACCTACCTACCTACATACATACATACATACATACATACATACATACATACATACATACATACATACATACACATACATACATACATACATACATACATACATACATACATACATACATACATACATACATACATACATACATACATACATACATACATACATACATACATACATACATACATACATACATACATGCACACAAAATCACTCTCACTCACTCACTCACATAGCCGATGCTGTGTTTCCGTACATAGCTAGAAATACTGAATGGTGTTTCACAAACATGTTTCGGATAAAGTTATATTTGCACACTGGACACAAGCCATGTACTCTAACTCTCTCATTGTGGGAAGGTGTTGTCTTTCTATACATGTACAACTGTTAATCTACATGTACAATTGTTTGTATACATGTACAGCTCTTCGCCTTCTCGTACAGACTCGTGAGCCATGGAGCTGACGCCTGGTTATGTAAATATAAGTGTATGCGCGTTCCTGTTGGGTTCTGTTGAAATGTGAGCTGTTCAAAATAATGAAACAGATAAATCATATTAGTGACTGTGTTACTGTGTTTGTTGTTTTTCGTGTAAAATGTAATAAATGGTACATTCACAAGTTATGCAGAATGGTAGTGAGTTACAAAGTCACATCGGCAGCCATATCGTGACTAGGAAAGTCGTAAATCTAAATTTGTAAATGTGTACATGAAATAAAAACAAACTTATATACTTACCTGTCTTCGAAGGACAGTAAAATAACTAGTCTATCACAAATGTACACTAAAACTGGCATGTAACCATAAACACTTAAACGGTACACTATAAAAATGGGCTATAGATTGCAAACACCTGAAGGTTGATCAACATACTAGGGACTACGGGAACGTACAGTACTTTTGCTTCCTGCATGGACCCTAGCTGGATTCTGTATATAGAAATTATCTTGCAAATGTAACAGTAAGTAAATATTGTCCCCCCAATGGAACAGCACAAAGCTAAGTTTGCCATTTCATCTTAGCTGAAACCAACAAAAAACCTACCGGAAACCTACATTACCCAGTATCCAATAGGTTTCCGCAATAACGGAAACTAAGTCATTTTGCTATGAATGTTTCAGCGAACTGAAACTAAATGGAAACGCATAATGATAGTTTCAGTTGTAGAAACTTGACGGAAACCTAGATTTGTTAGTTTCAGTTTTGTAAACTATGCGGAAACTCGCATTGTCTGTTTCCGCATACGGAAACCTAGCGGAAACCTACATTACCCAGTATCCATTAGGTTTCCGCAAGAACGGAAACTAAGTTATTTTTGCTGTGTGAATGGGTCGCTGAAAATCATGCCCCATAGATTTGGTATGATATACGAGTCTTGAAATTGATGAAAAATGTATTCAATGCCTATGTTTAACAAGAGAAGGGTATACAGGTCATAACCACGTAACAGACAATCCAGAAAACAGCCAGGCACTCAAGAATCGTAGTAAGGACTCACTCATCGCATATGAATCTTGGTAACAATCCAGATGATACGCCCTACTCAGAATGTTCGTTGAAGTCAGCCAACACTTTAGATTAAACAATGTCGCTGCCTTATCGGAGAAAACAGAGATACATACAGGCCATCTATGTCATACACGTCATGTTAATTATGAATAAGGTTTGATGTAACTATGTGTAATGATATTTTTAATAGCGAACATAATCACAGAATGTTCCTTTAAACTGAAACATTTTCGACAAATACTCTCTAAATATGCTGGGTTTAGAGTGATAAGAGGTTGTGACAATGGCATTTGACGAGGTGCCGACTACAGTTTTGGGAATGTTCATCCGTCATAATTGCAGGTATATTCCAGTTGCGTGATCCATTCGGTCACTTCTTTCTAGACGCAAAGTCAAAGTCGCTGATCACATCGATGGTCATCATTTTTCCCGACAGTGAATGAGTTTCCCATGAGCCATGTGATTCTATATATATATATATCACATTATGTATATATATATACTACTCATCAAAAGTTTAGACTCACTTAAAGCACTCAGTATATGATATGTATATATAGGTGGTTACATCGAAGATGAACTTCTCCACTAACTTGTGGGAACCAACTGCAAACCTCATGCAGATGAATTGTACGAGGATACTGGATCAAATTGCTGAAAAGCATGTGCAAATATCGTGCATGTGAACAGCTGCGTTTTGGTATAAAGTTTTGTTAAGAATTCGCCAATTTTCACAGATTTTCATTATTTCCTGAACTCATGACAATAATCTTTTCAACGTTACGAATTTGTTTTATAATACATCAGTTCATGTGTAAACAATATCTTTAAACAGCATGGGATATTTTGCAAACAGTTGACTGAAGTAAGTGGTTACATTTACACTAGTGAGTCTAAACTTTTGATGGGTAGTATATATATCGTGATGTATCGTTTATTGCAAGCAGTGAGTAATTACTGAACTGAGACAATTTGACAATTAGGGCATCGCAATCAGGTTCGATTCAGTGATTTGTGTTAAGGCGTTGATACCCTCATTATGCTGAGATGTAAGTTTTGATTATCCTCAGCTTAAATAGTGATGTGAAAAGAAAAACTGATGAATTTAAAGAAATGAAAAGGAAAAATATTGCCATTCAGAAATTCAGCGTATATTCCCTTCAATATATTTTTGTTTGTAAAGTAATATTTTGGGATCAATTTTTTGTTGTTAGATTGGGTTAGAATAGGTAACACGATAATAGTCTGTGTTTTGTTGGTGATTAGAATTTCCCCATTTTTTATCATATCATCATCATGGAGACAGAAACACTGTTGTCAACCGAACTGTAAGCTGGATCCACACTGCCTCTAAACTGCCAAACACTAAACTTAGTGTTGATATTGAGATGAATCTTCTCTGTTTTGTGATATTCCAGTGGATGGTATGGCATCAGCTGTAACTGTAGTGTTAATATGTTGTGATGAATCTTACCTGCTATGTGATATTCCACGCAGAGTGTCCCAGGGGGAAGTATGGCATCAATTATAACGGTAGTGTTGGCATGTTGAGATGAATCTTGTCTGCCACGTGATATTCCACACAGAGTGTCCCCGGGGAAATTGTGGCATCAACTGTTACTGTAGTGTTGATATGTTGAGATGAATCTTGTCTGTCATGTGATATTCCACACAGAGTGTTCCAGGGGAAAGTATGGCATCAACTGTGACTGTAGTGTTGATATGTTGAGATGAATCTTGTCTGCCACGTGATATTCCACACAAAGTGTTCCAGGGGAAATTGTGGCATCAACTGTTACTGTAGTGTTGATATTTTGAGATGAATCCTGTCTGTCATGTGATATTCCACACAGAGTGCCTCAGGGGAAAGTATGGCGTCAACTGTGACTCTGTCTGTGGCCACTGTGCTGATAACATCACATGTCATCACATCACTGGAACCTGTCCGGGTGGATGTCAGGCAGGGTGGCAACCCCCCCTGTGTCAGACAGGTGAGTGTGGACAATATATAAGTAAAACGTATACTCAGAGAACAGCTAACTTGACATTTTTTGGTTAATGGAGGTATGAATTGAGTGAGTGAGTTAAAATTTACATCGCATTGGTAATATTACAAGAAAACAAAGTAATCATTTTAAAATATCTGTCGACAAAGGACAGTAAAACCAGGAAGACTCTCACAGATATATATGTAAACGTAGTAATGAAATCTAAAATACTTTAACAATAGAGGACGATACAATACAAAACAGGCTATAGATCGCCAACAACTGAAGGTTGAGGTATGAATTGAAAAACCGATGCAAACATCGTTGAAATGTGAGATTTACAGTCAATAATTAGAATGAAATTCAACATCTAAAATAGTATGATAATTGTAATGGTTTCATCAAAAATAGCAGACAGAAATTACGAGATTGATAAACAATTTTAGTTTCTAGTTTAATTGAGATTGTCATTAACCGCCAAAATCACGCATTGGGTTCCCGCGAAGGGATTGACACAGTTGAAAAGAATAGGAATGAACACGTCATGTGTGAAGCATGAAACTATACGAGTTGACGCTTTATTTGTTACATAGGTTGTGACAATGGGACATTCGGGTTGAACTGTGAGAGTGACTGCGGCAAGTGTAACGGGACGTGTGATGTTGTTGATGGACGATGTCCCTGGGGATGTACCGAGGGGTACAATGGCTCTCACTGCTCTGTAAAGCTTTGTAAGTAATGTCCTTTACCTCCGTGATAATGAAATATATTTAGACAAATGTTATGTTTGGTATGTTTACTAACATTACTTACGACCGAATATGATTTTATGCACAGGGTCTTGTAACGCTAAAACTGTCATCAAGGTATATACTGTCACATACGGGGTCTTAGCGCTATAAAAAGGACCCCGTCAGTGGCAGTATTTACATTGATGACAGTTTTTGACGTTTCAAGCCCCTGTGATTGTATGCGATATGACTCGCGTTTTTATTCCACTTGATTGTCTTGCGCTTCTATGCCTATATTAGTGTACATACGACATGTAAGCCATAGATAGTTAACAGGGGAACTGTGTCACGCACAGATGCCAAAGCATAAGTCATTTGGCATCAAGAATCAATAATAATGTCTTAATCTTTTAAAACATTGGTTAGATACAATGTGTTCTATGATATGCTGAGAATAGAAATGAACAAAAGGTACATTACGTTTACTACTTATTTATTGTGAGCTCTGATTATAAGCACAATTACATTAACTCGAAATGTACTATGCAAGACATCATTGACTCAAATGAGTGAAATGAAGAGGGTGAAGTGAGTTGAAACAAAAAAGGTTTTACGACCTTAACGAACGTATGATTTTTACAACTCCTTGATGGACATCCCCCAGTTATGCCTTAGGCACAGACCTTTCAATACATTCATGACCCACTCCTCTTATTCCGTGACGACTGTGGCGTTTTCATAGGCCCTAATCCCGAGTACTAAAATTGTACAAGGCATAATGGGAGCGTTTGAAAAGCAGGACAAATATATATCGTTATCTTAAAAATACAAAGAACATAGCTAACATAATGTTGCTGCCTAATGTGAATATTTTAATAAGGACAATGTCATGAATGGTGACAGATTTAAATACACACACGGGTCTCACAGTTCGAATTGAGTGTATTTCTGACAAACTTGTGAGCTTGTTTTGCAGATTGTACGTGCGCTTCCCGGTATGTTACGAATTATAATTATTAATCGCTCAAAGTTTCAAGACAATATATTTATATTTAAATAATCACTTCAATCTTTACCGTTTCACATTTCCTAAATGGCATTGTGATTTTCATGTTTTGTTTTTGCTCTTTTATTATTCATTTCTTTAACAGACGTTGTTTTGGTGTTACTGTGGTAATTTCCCTTCATTGGTCAGTGTCTGAGGGTTCCACTAACTGTTAAACCAGGAAAACACAACGACGTTTTGACTTTCTGGATTTGAAAATGATCAAGATCAAAGTTTTACCTGTGTTCTGGTCGCATCCTACCCGTGAACTCGCCTGTATACTCAGGTTGCCTTTGAATTCTGCTTCAAAGTACTTCATTTATAATTCTTAATTTCCAAAACGCCTGAATGTATGATGATGTAAATAGCTGTCTGGAAATATAGTTATCTCAATTCTTACGGCCACGCATAACCAAGAATTGTATCAGTTTCCTCCCCCAAAGTAAAACGAGCTTCGCCGTCAAATGGCATTCTTCTCTGTATGTTGTATTTACTTAGAAACTCACGCAATGGTATGCACAATTCTGTATATATTTTGTGTTTTATGCCTGTAGTTAAAGTATACCTTCAACACCATAAACAAATTGTACTGGTTTTGTTCTATTATCATGTTTTCAGCTCCTATGAATACAATGCAGTCATCAGATGTTTTGGTACCAGCCGTGTCAGGAACAGTTGTAGGGTTGCTGGTGGTTGCCATAGTTGTTGTTGTTGTTGTTGTGATTCTTGTGGGCAGGTAATTTCTTTATACCTCATCAAGCAGCCATCTCTCCACATGTAAAGTCAGTGTTAGACAGTTCACACATTCTACTTAACCTCTGTGAAAATGAACTTGAAGAAAAAACAAAGAAATGAAGTTTTGCAGGAATACATTATAGTTGTATATTCATTCTTCGTGCAGGTTTTTGATCTTCATTACATGATCTTGTGAAATTCTTAACGAAATGTCAAAAGAAACATGATTATATTTGATGTTCATCTTGATATTCATTGGATATTTCTTGTAGAGAATGCAAACAATAAAATATGACATGCCGATACCCAGGTGTGTGGTTGAATTTCCCAAATCATGCGTTTTGTTTGTGTATGTTAGTACCTTTGATTGTGTTTGGTTATTTCTGTACTGTGTGTTTTGTTTTATTTTGTTTTGTTTGTATAAATAATTACATTCAGCTCTGTGACACCCCTTGAATCTGTTACAGGAGGAGACGGAGGTTTCAAGTTAGCGATGTGACCAAACACTCTGCACACTTCCGCCCTGAAGGTTGGAGCACTGAAAGGATTGTTGAAACTCCTATAGAAAATAGTATTATATAATGTAGAAAATATTTTGTTAAACAGAACACAATAAATGTTAAATATATAGTTTCAGCTGTGTTCGTATGAATGCACTAAATGGAGAGGAAAGATAACACTGTGATTAGTTTTAAGGTGTGCTTTGGCAATATTTCATCATGGACAAGTCTTTGCGGGCAAGTTATAATTTTAGAATAGGCGAGTGAACAAAGTGCTAAAATATTGGTAGGTCAGAGACATACTAGCTATTTTGCATTTTTATTTGCTTATGATGTAGTTGCATCATGCAAAAAGTCATGCTCAGACCAACATGGCCGATACATTCCATTGCGACAATTCTTATTATCAAGAATACAATGCATACTGGGTGTTTTTCAGAGAATGGCGCTTTGGCAAACGTAGTTCTGGATGAGAACAGAACAGGCCACCAGAAGCCACCTATAAAACCCAAACCTGCCCCACAAGCTGCATCCAGCACACAGCTGAGTTCCGAAGACGAAGGCCACGAGGAAGAAGATTTGGACGAGGAAGTTCAGCCTCCTGACAGTTGTTACTACAACGCAGAAGCCGAAGACACCATCAGAGACGTTGCTGTGCCTGAACTTGCTGCAACTGTGGCGATGCTTAAACAGAGGAAAGATGGGTTTGGAAGAGAATATAACGTGAGTCAACTTTGCAATGTCGTGGTTTTGCATTGCTTTTCTAGTTTGTCTCTAAATGGTAAAGGGGGTGTTGGGTTGGGCTAGTGGTTTAACATTCGCTCGTCACGACGAAGACCCAGGAATGGGTACAGTGGGTGAAGATCATTTCTGATGTCTCCTGCCGTGATGTTGCTGGAGTATTGGTAATGGTTACTCACTCACAATATAGTAAAGACACAATATTGTCTCCAAATCTGTCTAAGCAAAACAAAGTACCCTCCACAAGAACATATCTCATCCATGAATTGAATTTATTACAGCGACTTGTGACTGGATTCACAGCCACATACCAAGACTCCCAGAGACCCGAGAACAGTGGAAAAAACAGGTTCAGAGGCTACTACCCCTGTAAGTATGGCTGACAGTGGTGAATGTACAGACATGTAAAAGATTATTATAGGATATTTATATAGCGCACACATCCATGTATCTAGTACATGCTCAAGTCGCTGACATTTATTTCCCTCGATCACCGGATGTCAATTTCAACTCCCTGGGGAGCATACAGCTCCTAGGCGCACCGAGTTATTGCGGCTTTTTTATCCTTACGAGGCACCCATTCAGAGCTGAGTGGACTGTGACAGATAGTCACAGTACTTTGTCAAAGTTCACTGCACTTTGCTGTACCCGCAACTAGGTGTTTGCAGGTATTCATGAGGCCGCCATCTGGTCATATACCAACGGATTTGTGGGTTCTTTGAGTGCACAGGGTTGTGTACTGTACACTAGCTAGGGGTTGTGACAACAATGAACTAGTCTGCACACAAATTTGACTCCAAGATTTTTACGCCAGATTACAGGTTGGCTCAACCCCGTCACCTCAAGCTCGCTGGATCACTAACCAGGTGCCTTAACCAGCTCGCCCACCACGCCTAATATGTGGATACTGGTTTAACTGACTTGATTTGTTATTTCAGACGACCATAACCGTATCCGCCTGACCCCGCTCCCAGACACTCCTGGGTCGGACTACATCAACGCCAGTCTCATGTACGTGTGTACTTTACTAATTACCTCAAATGTTTATTATAGGCTTACGAATGTCGTAGCGCTACGAACGGTTAGTGGATGGGGACCCCGGATACGACCCTCTTAGCCGAATCGTTCCCTGTGAAAAACATCCCCAGAGTTTCGAAACATGGATATTAAGAACGTCCCTTTCTGAGGAACAAAATTGTTAAGGCAAAAGTTATCAGGACCCAGACAATAGAGTCTCGAAAACAAAAAGGTGATGCTACAAGCAATAAACTGTCCAATCGTCCCATTTCTATATTTCAGAGTTACAACCAGGCGAAGACTTACATAGCAGCTCAAGGTGAGATAAATTTTATGCGTTAATTTTGTTATGATGTGAAGTTAAACAGATCACTGTTATCATGCCGTCTAAGTTGCCGTCTAATGAGTATATCCATAAAAACAACCTTCAGGGATGTTGCACTATTGAATAGTATATGCCTAGAAATGACATGTTAAATGTATTTATCAGCCACCGTTTACCACTTACAGCTCCCAACAAGAACACAGTAGGAGACTTCTGGAGGATGATTTGGGAACATTCCTGCAGCGCTGTGGTCATGCTGACTGGTCTGGTGGAGGAGGCGAAGGTAGGATTTCACGTTATGTCAATCATCTCCATCATCCTACGAATGTAGACATCATAAATATAAAACCAACCCTTTGTTGGGCGAGCAGCCTTGAAAATTATATGAACGAATTGCTGAAAATATAAGTCGACTGATGTAACATTCGATTACGATTTTGTCTGATTACAAGAATAGACATTCTGTAAACATATGCATATTATTTTTACTTTAGGTCAAATGTGAGCAGTATTGGCCTAACGCTGGTGTAATGAACACTGATCACTTCAAAGTTGAGGTGGATGTAACCCAAGTCCGTGCGAGCTTTACAACGAGACACATGAAAGTCACTTCCAAGACAGTAAGTATTTGCACGGAACATTCATGTCTTCTTTATGTTGAAAATAACCAGTGATAAGTTGTCAAAATGTGATGTTTCAGTGACTTTGTTTCGTACAAAATGGTCTATATTAGTGGAATAGCTGATGAATTGCTACATATGGTTGCAGTTTGTTTTTCATGTTAATACAAATTCAATCAACATCTTCTGTTACAGACTGGAGAGAATTGGTCAGTCATCCAGTTCCACTTCACGTCATGGCCTGACCACGGTGTACCTGACACACTCGCTCTCGTCCACTACATCTGGTTGGTCAGACAGACAGTTGCAGAGAGGGCTGGACCACTGCTCGTTCACTGCAGGTAGGACTTCTTAGTTACAAGGTAGCAAACCACTGTTAACCACTGCAGGTAGGACTGAGTTAGTATCCAGGTACCGAATCACTGCTTGAACACTGCTTGAACACTGTGTATGGGGAAATGTATTCGAATACACAACGGACTACAAAGTGCCAAAGAGGACCTACGATATTCACTTCCTGATGATTCTTCACACTATTTTAGTTAACTCCAGTTAACGTGCAAACATTACTGGATTGTAGCCTTTGAAACATCGTTATTCTAAACAACTTTTTAATTTGATAATCCTTATTTCAGTTGAAAGTTTTGATTCTCAGCAAGATGGTAATCTAGCCGTATACAGGGTAAGACGTTGCCCTCACTGGTAAATGAAGTGAAGGCTCAACATGCAAAGACATAGACTTATGATTTGGTTAGTTGGTTTGTTTTGAACGCCACAGTCAGCAATATTCCAGATACATGGGGGCGGTCTGTAAATAATCGAGTCTGGACCAGACAATCCACTGATCAGCATCATGAGCATCGATCTATGAAATTGGGATTCGATGACATGTGTCAACCAAGTCAGCGAGTCTGACTACTCGATCACATACAACAAGCATGGGTTACTGAGGACCAATTCTAACCCGGATCTTCACAAGTAAAACAGGTCAAATATATGCATTATGGGTATTTCAGTGCGGGTATTGGGCGTACTGGCACATACATCGCCGTGGATTCCCTGATAGACCAGGCCCGTGAGGAGGGGGTGGTGGATGTCCTGGGGTACGTGACAGTCATGAGGGGGCAGAGGAAGAACATGATCCAGACTGCGGTAGGTTGGCTTCAAACATATATTTCCAACAAGTGTTTGTCAGTTTATATACCGCTGACATTGGCAGGCTGACCGCTGACTTGGCAGGCGTATTCGGGTTTCCATGAGTGTGTGAAGCAGGACACGCCTACCTTTTGGAAAATATATGATCCCCATTCGTTACAATTCGCTCCATTCCGAATCCCCCGAGAAGACTCGCCCCTCTCTCGATGCTTGTTATCGTTCGTCACCATTCGCCCTTTACCGTAATCTCCAAGAAGACTCGTCTTCTTCTCGATGCTTGTTACCATTCTTCACCATTCGCCCTTTACCGTAATCTCCCAAAAGACTCGTCCTCTTCTCGATGCTTGTTATGTGCGAAGATATGATATACCAATTTGAAGTTGCATAATCATTGCGGTACTGTGATAAAAATTATCCCGACTTGTACAAAACCTTTCCGTAATCGTAAGACATCTATGCTAAAAGCAGGTCCATTGTATGATTCCCACCTTATCAGGAACATGACTATGTGACTGCATCTCTCCCAAATAGCAGTGACACCAGGGGTTGAGTTAAGGATGCTGAAACCCATACGTAAAGTGACACTACATTAGAGCTACGCGTTTCTTCGAAAAGTCTTCTTTGATCGGAACGTCAAGATACTGAAACATACGGCAGTAAAATATGACCATAAGCCCATCCTGCCTTGGCCAGCCACTGTTGTTACTTTGGCGACCAGGTTTCAAACGGCCATACCTTGAAGCATTCGGCACTAACTCGTGTTATTCCTAATAGCGACTCGTGACCCTGTGGAAGGATTTCATATTGGCGCGTTAACATCATAACTACTTCAAACAAGAACGATAACTCTATTCTATCTTTATTCCAATGGTGCTTAATATCACGGAAGCACTCGTATAGTGTATTGCTCTTTTTAACCGTTCAAGTAACCTTGTGCCACACCCCTGGTGGAATTTTAAAATGACTATGCTGAAAATAAAACCAATAGCCCCAGAAACGTCCGACTAAGAATGTAGGATGTGAAATGTAAGCCCAAATGTTGAAAATTAAAGTTGATTATTTATATTTTACTATATTGCTTAAATTGGACCCATGAAAGACGTTATGTAAACAAACTCACGTGCCTGAATTTGAATCTCTCACGGTTCCATTCGAGACCCACTCGTGTTATTCCGGGACAAGCCAAATAGCGACTCGTGTACCTCTAGAAGGATTTCATGTTGGCGTATGAACATCAGAACTACTTCAAACAAGAACTATAACTCTTTTCCTGTTTGATGTCATTGGTACTCAATATCACCGAAGCACTCGTATATATACAGTCTTTATCTATTTTGAAATGGTGGAGCTTTCAGTTCTGTGTAGCACAATTAACTTTTTTTTTTCAAAATCAGCCTCTAAATTACACAAAATGGAAGTAACACGTCACAATATAATTCTAGAAACACAATATTCCTGAAATTCCCCGCACTGTGGCCAGTTTCTGACAAAGGATTTGACAAATTTCAACATGCAGTTATGAATTTATGCCAAGGATGAAAAAATGAAATAAACATTTTCGCGAAAACTAATGAGCGAAAATGTTTACTTTTGCTCCAAATTTATGTTTTGAAGGATGTACAGGAATGAAATTATGTTTATGAGTATCAAGTGTCTGGGCTTTTGTGTTTCCAGAATTACATTTTGACGTGTTAAATGTAACTTCTTTGTTACAAATTGAGCTGCAACCTTGGAACTGATTTGTTGCCGACATATATATATTGCCACACAGCATCACTGTCTGGTCTTTTTCAATCTCAGGCCCAGTACGAATGTGTCTTCCACTGTCTGGTGGAGATGACGACATTCGGCTGCACCAGCATCGACGTCTCCAGTTTCACCACCAGCTACAGCAACAGCGGCATGGACACCACGGTTGACGGACGTACTCTCAAACAGTTGTCTCAGGTCAGTAGGTCCCCATGATCCCCCGTAAGGTGGTCTAGCTTTGGTGACTGGTGGTCTATGGTTCGTCTATGGTTAATCACAGTACATATAATATTGATCTTTGTGTTGAATGAAGTCGTTTATATTTTGAAATGATTTAGTTTTTAGACTCAAATTGTGATCACGTGAAATGTTTTCTTATAGCTAAATCAATATTCTTATCGTCACTATATGGCTGAAATACTACCGATGTGACGTTCAATTTTTTAAATCACTCACTCACTCATTGAAGTCGCACATTGAGAGCGTTTAGCGAGAAACCTAAGAATATGTTTGCATATGGTTGACTGTCATTAATTATAAATAGTGAATGAAGCAAAAACAAGACAAAGTCTGCAACTAGGTCTTCCACAGTTCCTGCAATTCCATTTTCAAAATGTCATAAATTTTCTATTTCTTAAAAGTCATTATTTTCCTTTTGTTGAAGTTAGCTTTAACTATCTAGATAATTTGTACATATATGCACATGTGCACAGATGCTGTTGTCTGAAACTCAAGATGGTAAGTACACTGTTGTCAAATACTTTTTGATCAATACTTAAGGCTGATGCCTTCCTGAAAAGTGGAAATGCACGCTCATACAACATCTTTCACCTCCATGGTGTTTACTGGTGATCCAAAAATACATAATTTCTCTTTCAGTCACTATATATATATACATAAAAATATATATATATATATATATATATATATGTATATATATGTATGCTGTGTATATATGTGTACATATATATATATATAAACATATATATATATATATATATATATATATATATATATATATATATATATATATATATATATATATGATATGTCTAAGACTAAAGTGATATGTCTAAGACCGTTATCGTGGAAGCAATGGAAATAAAAACTGTCCGTGATCGTAAGACATATGTGCTGGTTGCAGAGTCCATTGTATGAATCCCAGTATATCAGGTACATATGTGAATGAATCCCTACCAAACAGAGGTGACACCAGGTGTCGACGTAAATATGCCATGCCCCTGACACGGTACACACTCATTATGCGTAAAATGGCCAGCACGCGTAGAAGTCTGTAAAATTCTGTTCTATTCCCGGATCTGAGGATGAGTGAAGCGAATATGACATCATTGAAATACACCAACCCCGTGGTTTTGTCGACATGTAAAGGGTACATAGCGATAGTGATGCCAAGACCAGACCTTGTATGATGAGGCTACAATTATATGTTCTGTGTTGTTCTAACTGTTTGTGCTGTAACCCTTTTCAGATGCTCCCAACAAACGCAGAATGTGGGTGGATGGTAACTCTGAATTCATTGTGCATGTTGGACCGGTAGGTGGACATCATGAGACAATAATAACCCGAGACGCTATATTCCTCATAAACATGGTTTAATAAACACTTCTTTGCAAGTACAAAAGAATAATTGCTTAATTGAACCCTGAGAAAGAATTTTTGATGGAACATCTGTATAGGAACAACTCTCATTGCTGAATCCAAATAGAGCTGACAGGCTCCCTGATGGGAATAACGGCAACCATGTGTATTCCTCTTTATAGACTCTGACGTGTATGAGGGGGTTCCTGCAAGCCGTTGCCCCACCCTCTCGACTGGTGAAGTTGTTGTGGAAACTGGTAGAAGAGAACAACGTCCACAACATCATCGTCACGCCAAATGTATGCAAATAGAATCTTTCAAATAGTTAAAGCAATAGTCAAAGAATGATGTTCGTCTCTTATGCTTCATGCTCTAAATTGGTAATAATAATTCCAGTGCAGTAGCTATTTAATTTCTGTTGGTGATATTTTCAAGTTACTTAGTTTTTCTTTAATTCATGACACCTACATGTTTGAACTGTGACAGAAGTTGAGTAAAACCGGGCCACATGGTATAGCCATCCGTTTATTCAACATTCCAGTAATATACATGCTCCTAGTACTGAGGGTGAATATTCAATATTTTAACGTTCCTGTTTCAGCTTGGCTTAGCTGAAGCAGAGGGCAGGTCCAAGACGCACGGGGGGATCACTGTGACGACAACGAGTCACAGCAACCTGGCAGCAGACCTCTCCATGATGAACCTACAGCTTGCTACAAAAGTAAGGCCTTCTCACCATGAGCAACGCAATCAAACCAATCAGAACGCGAGTAATGATTGTGGTGCTTTGATAAAACTAATCCCGATTACTTAAATGGTTTATGGTATTACGTGATGGTTGAAATAATTAATAAAACATATATTGTCATATTGACAGTGAACATAGATTATAGATAACAGAATTGTGTTGAATAATAATTTTTAATAAGAATAATGCCATGAATGGTGAGAGATTCAAATACACGCACATGCGTTTGTTTACAAACGGCTCTCGTGGGTCTTTGTGATTGCGTTTTTCTCACGATCTTGTGGGACTTGTTTTGGAGATTTCACGTCCGCTCTCCAACATTTTTAGTAATCATAATTTTAAATCACTACGAGGTTCTAACACTATATTAATATATAACCAATCAAATCAACTTGGTTTTGTCAGACGTTTCTGCGGTCATTCATAGTGTACTCAACGTATTCAGTTTAAAATTCCATCAAGGTTACACGAATGTTCAGTTTGTGAAATAATTTCAAGTCATTTTTGAGAATCTGTTTTGGGATTTTCATGAAGCTGAATTTTTAAAATAGTTATTAGCATATTCCATAAAACAATCCCATTTGTGATTCATAACCCTATTCAGAAATATTCATTTTGAAATATATGGTGAATTGCTGGTAATAATTACATTAGGATATGAGTTAAACAAATATTCATTTCATCTTTTGTTAGTTGTATCAATATTTTCAATTATTTAAAAGAAATAAATAGATTAACAAAAACCAAAAACAAACCATCAATACAATACGCCAGTACTTCGGTGATGTTAGGTACCATTGGAATCAAACAGGAAGTTGTCGTTCTTGATTGAAGTAACTCCGATGTTCATACACCAATATGAAATCCTTCCAGAGGGGCACGAGTCGTTATTCGGCTTGTCCTAGAGTAACACGAGTTGGTCACGAATGCGCAAGTAGCTGTCTGCATGCCACTGCCATTTACGACAACGCAGCCTGTTACATCTCCTGTTTGATGAGGAACGTCTATACGAGTATTTGACAAGATAAGAGTGATGCTGTCTTCCACACAAAAATACAAGTTTTTAATATTGCGCATAATGATCAAGACAATATACATACATGTGACTTCATTCTTTTCTGCCCTCATATATAGGTGATTTATAGGCCTTTAATATGGGACATAGTACACAACATAATAGTAGAAGTATTCCAAGGACACCAGGGTGTTTTTGTCTAGCATTATTTCACACCTGTAACACAGGGAGGCAGTCCACGGAGGGTGAAGATGGTCAACGCTGATGCCCAACTGACCATGGAAACTGTGACATCGCATTTGTTAAACCACGTGGACCTGCAAGACATCTCAACTCAGACCACCCCTGTTGTTGTTGTTCACAGGTAGGACTGCTTCCAGAATAATCAATTTTCTTTGAAAGTTTTCGTTGATGTAAGAATCCGTATATGTTCACTTGCCTAAATGTAATAATATATGTATTGTTATTCACGCGGGTCATAAATTGATTACCATATATTTTAAGTTTTAAAGTAATCGAAGTTTGCACCTATTTATACTCCGTATCAAATCAAACATGTTGATAGAATGATAACATATCCCTCAGTAGTGCTTAGTGATGTCAAAGGATTGTGGTATTTATTTCCAGCAATAGACATACTTCCGAAAATCCATGTCTAATTATGTTACAATGATTGACACATCGTTTGTATATATCCCATTGCTTGAGTGTTTGAAGTAGTTCTGACTGTGTGACTCATTAGCCTATTTAATGGATGGAGATGCCTAGTTTAGCTCAAGTTAATTGTATACTATTAGATCCCGCTCCATGTACGACAGACACATTTCCTGACTTCAGTAAACACAACTAACTATCAAGAATATACATAACACGTAACATTTTGATCTGCAGCAAAAAAACACGGAAAACTTGCTGTCTCGCTCTGCATCATGGGTAATATTCTGTCTGGTATTCGTGAAGACACCCGTGTTGACGTCATCGGTCACGTGAGGATGTTCCTACGATGTTGCCCTGAGCTACAGTTCACCCAGGTACAAGTTCACCCATGTACAGTCAAACATCGTTGTCTCGAACTGAGGGTAAACAGGTGCCCCTGCCTCTTCCTTATTTGGTCATCAATTTGCGGTTGTGTCAAACCTCCGTGAGACAACGGTGCTTGATTGTATTTGTATACATTCGATAGTATTATTATATGTGCTGTCGAAACATTGATTTTACTAAACTCCAAATGTTACATAGCCTACAAAAAGGCATGTGGAGGAAACAGAAATCTACTTTTAATTTGTATACATTTCTTGCGCTTATATACGTCCGATTGTTGAACATCAGATCAGAGGGAAGTTGAAAAATGCACTATAATAAACACATAAATCTGAGATGAACTGAAATCATACTTGAGAAACAACGCATAAAGAAATGATCTCAGTATAACATGGATTTGTTTTCTCTTTTCAGAGTGATGTGCAGATGTTTCATGAACGCACAATGCCATTTACAAGGTGGACAATTCTAACATATGTTATAATAGGGATTGTTGTTCCCGCAACGTGACGACACTTTAACTTGTCAATTACACTTAATCACAAACTCGCAAGCTTACGTTGTCTACATGTATATATACAGCACCTCAAACATATATGAATAGGAATCTCACTTAATTATTGCTTCTGAATAAGCCATGACGATATCATTTGCTCATCATTCCAAAATACCCTTACTGCACTCTTACAATGTTGATATTGACTTGATAATAGTTTATTGATGTATATTATACCATTGCAATGTGTTCACCATCCAGTCATCTAAAACGAGAACGTATTTGATCATCAGTTCGGTCACATAAAGAATTCAGGTGCTCTTCATGATGTGTTCCTCGGTTTTTAACCTCTGTCAGAAAACATCAGGAGTATGAAAAGTTATTCTGTCAAATGCGAAGCAAATACAAGTTCCAGTGTATGCATTTCCATCTAACAGGAGTGAAACATGCGATGGGGGCTGTGTTATAGTAAAGCATTGCCACAACCAGCTGCAACAGCAAGGTATCAGCGATGGGGGCTGTGTTACAGTAAAACATTGCCACAACCAGCTGCAGCAGCAAGGTATCAGCGATGGGACTCTGTTAAAGTGAAGCATTGCCACATGCCACAACCAGCTGCAGCAGCAAGGCAGCGAGGTTTTTAGCGATTGGGCTGTGCTACAGTAAAGCATTGCCACAACCAGCTGCAGCAGCAAGGTATCAGCGATGGGGCTCTGTTATAGTAAAGCATAGCCACAACCAGCTGCAGCAGCAACGTATCAGCGATGGGGCTGTGTTATGGTAAAGCATTGCCACAACCAGCTGCAGCAGCAAGGTATCAGCGATGGGGCTGTGTTATAGTAAAACATTGCCACAACCAGCTGCAGCAGCAAGGTATCAGCGATGGGGCTGTGTTATAGTAAAGCATTGCCACAACCAGCTGCAGCAGCAAGGTATCAGCGATGGGGCTGTGTTATAGTAAAGCATTGCCACAACCAGCTGCAGCAGCAAGGTATCAGCAATAGGGCTGTGTTTCAGCAAGGTATCAGCGGTATATGTCATGTATTCTATCATTCGGATAGAAAATGCGGAACTATTGACGATGTGGAAAGTCATCCCGTGTGTCACTTAGCCTTGTGGGTGGTATTTCATCAGTCTAAATGATATATTGTGTGCAGCGCACTCTTTCAAATGGGTAAATCAGTGGAAGAGAACTGGATCATTTGATCATTCGTAGAGATGTACAGCCATTGTATGTACATCATGTTTGAACTGTGTAAACCTTGTTAGCTGGTTGGGGTCTATGGTTTAAACGCTAATATGACACGAGGAAGCGAGTCACTGTTGACCGAGATTCGAACCAGACTTGATGGTCATGTAGACACCTGTAATATAATATATGTAATCTTTTTCTACTTTTACTCTACCTATCTATCTATCTATCTATCTATCTATCTATCTATCTATCTATCTATCTATCTATCTATCTATCTATCTATCTATCTATCTATCTACCTATCTATCTATCTATCTATCTATCTATCTATCTATCTATCTATCTGTCTATCTATCTATCTGCCTATCTATCTATCTGTCTGTGTGTCTGTCATCTGTCTGTCTGTGTGTCTGTCATCTATCTATCTACCTATCTACCTATCTATCTATCTGTCTATATATACACTGTCCCTGTCTGTCTGTCTGTACTGTCACACAGATACTATCTACTATCTATCTATCGACACATACATACACGCCCATCCATACGCACACACAGATACGCACGCACACACACACACACACACACACACACACACACACACACACACACACACATACGTACATACATACATACATACGAAGTATTATATATTGACTTACCTGTAAACCTGTATATTCTTAATTTATTTCACCTCGTCATATGTTTTGATCTCTACGCTACAGCAAAATAAAGTCTGATTAATCAGTACTGTTTACGTTGTTGTATTAAATGATTGTTCAGGTGTAACAGTTGGGCACTGGCATAAAATCAGCTGTATTTCACGAGAACTGTATCAATGACTCAACAGGCTCCCGTAACCCTGCTGTCGTAGAGGCGACTACAGATTATCAACTTGTAACACGCAATGATTTGGTTGTTGTTTTACGCCGCACTCAGCAATATTCCAGCTATATGGCAGCGACTGTAAATAATCGAGTTTGGACCAGACAATCCAATGATCAACAGCATGAGCATCGATCTACGCAATTGGGATACGATGACATGTGTCAATCAAGTCAGCGAGTTTCACCATCCCATATCGTTTGTAGCCTCTTACGACAAGCATGGGTTGCTGAAGACCAACTCTAACACTGATCTTCACGGGGAGGCAAGCATGGGTTGCTGAAGATGATTTCTAACTCGGATGTTCACGGGTATGCAATGAGTTGGATGGTTATTTCTCGTTGGTGGGATATCGCGGCTTTATTCAGAGTTTCATATAGTTTCAGCTCTTTAGTCACCATTGATCATAAGTGTATTCTTTCGCTAGCCTGGCAGTCAAGTTAAATTCGTTCAGCTGAAGTCCCTGAATGTGATACAAACGCACATACGCACTTGTTTGTTCATAATTAGCCATACTGATTCATGAAGAGATTCTTTTTGCGGATATTTCTGTGAAATATTCAATCTCCCAAGCGACAAGTGATAAAGGCCTATATATTTAAGCAGTGGAACTCTTTATTTGTTTCTCCAAACGTTCCTTTTCATGTCTTTGCACAAAACACACCTAAAGTTTCCTTAATCACAGCTTTTTCTGGAGGTATTACCATCTCACAGATTATCTGTTTCTTTAAAAAGAAGAATTATTTGACATAAAACATCTTATCGACCAATTACGAAGTATTATGTTCTCTGCATTGTTTCATCGTTATCGAATAATTAACAATAGTTGTGTTTGTTAATTGTCCCGTATAATCAGTGCTACAAAGTAAACATCTATGCAATTTCACATCACACTAGTGATGACATACCTGATAAACGGGTCAAATGAACGGATATTTTCTTCTGCCATTCTCCCCATCAAAGAAACTAGAAGCATTATTTCTATAAGATACCTTTAAAAGTGTTGACAATTTTATCTGAATTAATGTTAGTAACTTATTACGGAGTATCTATTTCTGGTATTCAAAATCACATTGACATTACCATCAATACAAGTATTCTATGCAGATAGTGATTAAAACAGAATTGGTCAGTAACCTGATGCATGAATTGCAATTTATCTTTATGAATCTATTGAAATAGGTACGAAATATGATACAGCCATTACAATTCATCTTTACCTCTGGGATTAAGTATTGGAATTGTTGACGTAGGTAACCAGAGCAAGTAGTTAAACTGCAGTTTTAAGCAAACCTGGGGAGGGATTCAGCACCTTACACATCCTGCGTATGAACCACGTATCGAAATAAAGTTTGAGTTAAAGGCATGGTTTAATTTGTAGGACCTACATGCACAAAGCTACATTAGCGCTACGGTTGTCTGGAGTCTTGTGATCATAGAACACGGGAGTTACGAACACTCGTCGTATTATGATCGCTTTGAACAAATGGCCCCCGACTGAATTTTACGTGTGTATTGTTGTCGACAACCATCATGCAGGTGTCTTGGTTAATCTGGATTTAGAGTGTCAATAATTATGTTGTCACCATATACTTTATTGTTTTCAGAAGATGATAAATTGTTATGTGTCGCGCATTGTACAGCAGATAAATACTAGCTATTTCTAAAGGGTATATACAATGCCCGGCCATTATGACCCATGGGGAATTAAAGTCGTCAATGAACATATGACGTACAGTAAAAAAAAAACACTGAAAAGGAAAAAACACACCATTAATACAAGTGAACACAGGAATCCCATCCCGCATGTCCTCCGGTGCAAGTATCCGTAGCAATACACACATACATGTGTCGACGCCAGCCAAAGTTTACTTACATCTCATACACCACCTACCATACATACTCATCCATTTAAATGTGTCGACGCATACAGCCAAAGTTTACTTACATACATACATACATACATACATACATACATACATACATACATACATACATACATACATACATACATACATACATACATACATACATACATACATACATACATACATACATACATACATACATACATACATACATACATACATACATACATACATACATACATACATACATACATACATACATACATACATACATACATAAGCGCCACTGCTCACCATCACTGTAACCTATCATTCTGCACTTCTGTAACGTATATCCTGTATGAAAGGATCATTGAACATACCACAGTTTACTTCACTGTCAATCAGGTCATTAATAACAACAGAGAATAACGTGGGAAACAACACGCAACCTTGTCTCACACAACGGTAAACATGGATTTCATTGGTTACTGAAACCGGTTATAGAAAGTCATAATGCCCGTTTGATTTTAAACATCGCTATAATAGCCAGGCATACTTGTATAGCATATGGTAGTTGATTATAGCACGCAAAATAACAAAGATAAAAAATCATATACATACAGATGTAGATAAAACATGTCCGCATCAGAGTAGTAAATATTCAGTATGGCCATGACAAACAGATCTTGCACATATATAAGCTAGCTGTTGCAATGTCCATTAACCTGACGATTGGTGTGAGAGCCTCGAAGATAATATGATAAATTAATATTTATTCTAAGCATACTAAGATTATACACATCTCACAAAATAAACACTGGCATATGATATGGGTAAAGTGGTGTTTGATTCGTATCCATTTGTCCCATAATGGAAACATTTTATATAACAGCGATTAACACGACCATATTTACAATTACAAATACTACCCTTGTATATCATGATAGCACATTATGATGACAAAATAACAAAGAATACAACTTTTATGTGCAATGAATAAGTTGTAATGTATAAAGGTTGTAGTAAGACAGACAGCCACACAGATAAATACAAGAGTTATACATCAGTTATTACGGTAGCTGACAATTTATAGGTCTAGTTTACCACATTGGCGTAAACAGATAATAGCTGAATGAGTGCGTGAGTTAATATTTAACGTCACATCGGCAATATTTCAGCCATATCGAGACTAAAACGAATAATGATTATATCATGCATCAATAAAATTAGAAATTAAAACCTGTTGACGAAGAACAGTAAAACTTATAGTGTACCACAGATATCCATTTACAACTAGAAGGTAAATCTAAAACATGTTAATTAGAAATGACAAGACAATGTAAAAACAGGCTATAGATTGCCAACAACTGAAGGTAGATCACCATACTAAGGACCATGGGGACTTACAGATAATAGCTGAATTTTAAATTACATTAAACAAGATTGCATAGTTTAATTTGATATTTTACTTGTAATATACTGCAGCATTAATGCAAAAATATACAATTCATATGTATGCAAACATATCAAACTATCTAATATCCTGTTCAATATGTGCAGAGCTAGCTTCGCAGAATAAGTACATGCAGTGATCCAAAGGTCAAACGTGAGGGCATGGCCAGAGGGTCACATGTAGCTTGACCAATCGATGTGAGCACGTCGTGGCTAAGAACACACGAACTTCATAAAAATATTTTTAAACTATTTTTACAATAAATGTAAAAGTACAATAATGTAAAAAGGTTAAATATACGGCACACTTTCCCTTTTCAGGTCAATGTTCTGCAAGTACCACATAAAGCAATGGTATTATTGAAACATCTCGCTCTGTGACATAAAGCAATGGTATTATTCAAGTCACGGAACTTGAGCGGTTGGGAGGGAGGTGTGACTTTACATACTCCAGTACACGATTACCCATTGTCTACATGTATACCTACAGATGACACCACTGTTGCAGCTATCTGGGGGTTTCAGAAAATCAAATGGCCAACTATTGAACAATGGCGGAAGCAACTCAGGCGGCCAGCTTAAAGAAACAGCTGGGTCTCGTCAGCACAACTAGTTACATAACTGGCAGCATTATAGGTAAGATACTGTATGATTTAACAAACACATAAATAAAGGGGCGTCAATCCAAACTCTTTGACTAACACCAGCTATCTCAACACTGTATACAACGGCCTCAATCCACACTCATTGACTAGCCATCTCAACACTGCGTACAGCGGTCTCAGTCCTCACTCATGGACTAACACCTGCCGTCTCAACACTGTATACATCGGCCTCAATCCACACTCATTGACTAGGCATCTCAACACTGTATACAGCGGTCTCAGTCCACACTCATTGACTAACACCAGCCATCTCAACACTGTATACAGCGGCCTCAATCCACACTCATTGACTAGCCATCTCAACACTGTATACAGCGGCCTCAATCCACACTCATGGACTAACACCTGCCGTCCCAACACTGTATACAGCGGTCTCAATCCACACTCATGGACTAACACCTGCCATCTCAACACTGTATACAGCGGTCTCAGTCCACACTCATTGACTAACACCAGCCATCACAACACTGTATACAGTGGTCTCAGTCCACACTCATGGACTAACACCAGCCATCTCAACACTGTATACAGCGGTCTCAGTCCACACTCATTGACTAACACCAGCCATCTCAACACTGTATACAGCGGCCTCAATCCACACTCATGGACTAACACCTGCCATCTCAACACTGTATACAGCGGTGTCAATCCACACTCATGGACTAACACCAGTCATCTCAAAACATAAAGTCATCCCACGCTCACGTAATTTTCATGCAAGAGTTTAACGTTCACTTTAAGCGAATATCTATTAACTGTATGCTTATTTCAAAAGGTTTAGAACCCGTGAAGATCCGTGTAGAATATTGAATATTAGAATATTGATCTTCAGTAACCCATGCTTGTCGTAAGAGGCGAGGGTGGTCAGGTTCGCTGACTTGGTTGACACCAATTGATTAGATCGATGCTCATACTGTTGATCACTGGATTGTCTGGTCCAGACTCTATTATTTACAGACCGCCGCCATGTAGTTGGAATATTTCTGAGTGCGGCGTAAAATTTAACTTACTTACTCACTCACTCACAAGGTTTAGAGGGATGAAAGTAGGTTTGTGAGCCAGCACAATAACAGGTGATATCGGATAGAGTTCCCATGGAACATGCACTTATTGATCTGACAGGAATGAATCTTTGTCTGTTGTGTTTTCATGTGCATCAATGCTCTCAAACGGGTTTCTTTCAAAGTAGTAATGTTTATTATATTCATGCACAGGGACGGGCATCTTCATCAGCCCGACTGTCGTACTGGAAGGGATGGGGTCCTCAGTGGGCTTATCTCTCCTCGTGTGGACGATGTGTGGAGCACTAACCTACTGTGCTGCCATGTGCTACGCTGAATATGGTACAGTTTGCAGACATTATATGCACTAGAACACATAGTCTCGGACACGACGAAAAGAAGGACTAATCTTAGTTTTGTTCCCATTAATGTCAAGAAACAACAAGTACCACCCTGGTAACCTATTTTGGAGACAAGTCACCATGATTCGAACCACCAACCTTTCGCTCTCACTCCCGATACTGGCACTTGCATTCAGCCGTTAGTATTATGTCGGTCAACACTAACGCATTCTTCTTATTTCGCGACGTTTATTGCTCCTTTGTTCTTTAGAAGGCTATGAATGCAACTTGTGTTCATGTGTGTAACTTTAGAGCTGAATGTTCCAGGGACTCGTGTGAAGAAATCTGGCGGCAGCTACACTTACATCCGAGAAGCCTTTGGAGATTTGGCCGGGTTCCTATTCCTTTGGACCCAGCTGGTTCTGGTACGCCCTCTGTCAGTAGTTCTGGCGTCCTTGGCATCTGCAGAATACATCATGAGGCCTCTCTTCAAGAACTGTCCTGACCTGGCACCTACGACATCCAAAGCCATGCTTGGATTTGTCATACTTGGTACATTTATCATTGATGTAAATGTCACAAAAAAGTATAAGTGTGCCCTTTCACTTTTCACAATTAAGTTAACATAACGCATTTATTGTAGATCGTTTTAAAGGTGAATATTTTATCATAGAAATATATGTTGCAAAAAACAAACGTGCTTCTTTACTAAGCTAAAATACAAAATTACATTGACACATAGGTGCAATGGGTGCAGAGAGAAACATTGCGAAGTGCACTGTACGTTAATGTTGCAGGGTTCTTTGTGATGGCAAACATGTACAGTGTAAGACTTGGTGCCCAGCTGCAAACCATTGCCACAGTTTGCAAGGTGTTTGCTCTTCTTAGTATCATCGTAGGAGGGATTTTACATATATGTCAAGGTCAGTATTTTCTATTTGTTGAGGTCACATATGTCAGTTAACCATCTTCAGGTTATATCTGAGGGTATATATAAGTCGATTCTGGGCTGAAATCATCTTCTCATTGCACCTGAAGAAATATACTCATGGAAACGAATAAGGGAACACCTGAAAGTACAAGTGTTCCTTTATTCTTTTCCAGGTTTCTTCACAAGCTTTGTATTGCACATTGTGTGAATTCTGGGAAAGAATAAACAAACACTTGTACTTTCATGTGTTCCCTTAATTGTTTCCATGAGTATATGACACACATATTTAGTTTAGTCAAACTCGATCTCAGTTTAGTACCAGCGTAAGACACTAGACTCCAGTAAAGCACAGTCATAACTACCGATAAAATGAAGGATCTTACTTCAGATATATCTGTTGTAAATGCTCATACTAATGGCATATGGTCTCTTGAAAGTGCAGTCATTACATAATAAACTTCTATTGTCGTGAGAAATACTGATATTTCAATTGCATGCCATCAATTGAAACTATGAGTTTGTGAAGATGCTTCCCTGTTAAAAAGGTCACACAGAAAACTTCAGCGAACCGTTCAGACCCACAAGCCTAGACCCCGGTAATGTTGCTTTGGCATTTTATGCTGGGCTGTATGCGTATGGAGGCTGGTAAGCTAATTTCACGTTCGTTGATTCTATAATACAATATATAGCTGTTTGTAAGGTCTGCTTATGTATAGAAACTGGTATAACCAATGTATATCATATGAAATGACACGCAATGCCTTTGGAAAAATTCAACTTACACGCCTAATTACAAGAAAACCTGATTTTTAAAATCGGCCAGCTTTGTCCGAACGCCAGTTATTACTACAGGAGGACTATAATTTACAAAATCGTATTATTAATCTTAATCCGACTAATTTTAGATAAGAGACGACTGGTAGTGATTCTCCCATGTCACAAATTCACATGTTGGAATAAACAAAACCGTTGACTTCATACTGCCCTACTGTCATACATAGGGACAACGTCAACGTGGCTGTAGAAGAAGTCGTGAATCCACACAGGTAATCAAAGCATGACCCACAGTTCGTGTCAAGTAACAATTAAAATGGACACTGTTCTTTTTGTAACATGTCAAACCGTTGAGTTCTTTCAGGTCTGCCTTAAGTACCTTCATCAAATAATACATAGACACTAATAACGGATGTATAACAACACTTTTATGAATGAATATCTGGTAATCGACAGATGCATTCAGAATAATATATAAACAATAAAACTTAAACTGTTTACATAAGATATCCTAGTTCCTTATATTCTGGACTTTCAGATATATTCCGTTTCATTTGCTAGAACCATCCCATTAGCTGTTCTTGGTGGACTTGCCATACCGACCTTTGCCTACATTCTTGGCAACGTTGCTTACCATGCTGTTCTCACTAGTGACGAGATTCTTTCTGGAATTGCAGTTGCTGTTGTAAGTAACAAATCATTGATATAGCTATTACAATAACCATGACGAAACTTTAATGCTTCTATATCAATTCAAACGCATCTAAAATGTAATGCTGATCGCTGCACTGCCCTTGTAGACTTTCGGAGAAAGAAAGCTGGGATTGTTCAAGTGGATCATTCTACCTTGTGTGGCGGTATCAGCGGGCGGGATAGCAAATGCTGTAATATTCACTTCGTCCAGGTAATAGAAATGGCAGCAAGGCAGATATTTTGATATCTTAATATTTTGAGATTTTCTTGTCTCTACTTCTACCCAGCAATAACAATTCACAATAATCTAACTGCATGTTCCGGTCTATCGATGACTTAATTGCTTGGATTGTTTATAGTCCGTTGTTAGATGACAAGCGCACTACTGATTTCCCGTTATACATTCACATAATTGTCACTGTTTTCCCATTACATCAAACAGAATTTGTTTTTGAGGATATTGAAGACTAGGTACTATTTTGCACTGACGTCCTATGTTTACAATTCCAAAAATGTTTTTATCATTGTATCATTTAACTTCCCAACAAGCAACCCCTCATCACTTATATTGAGTGATATTTCTGGAGCTGCACATTTTGAGGTACAGTCTACGAAGGCTTCAAAAGTGGCTCACGACTCGGGACGTGTTTGATCAGGGTGACGGCATTCAAAGCCGTAGTAATGTTTGATAAAGGTAGTGAGGTTGACATGTTGAGGGACATCCAGTTTGACCCATGCCTACTCGTACCGTGCTTTCCTGTATTTGTTTAGGTAAACCTATGTCTAGCCTGCCTTGCTGTTGGGTGCCACTTGTGGGGCAGGAGATATGCTAACATTATTCCGAACAGCTGCTGTCATTGCCCTTTGATGCTGTCTTAATAAATCAGGGTAATGTTGCACAAAGATATATTAGCCAATGGGTTATCGCAGCACCCACGTTAACGTAGACGTACGATAGACGTAGCGCTAAGGTTGTTTTGTACAACGGCACCCTGGGTTCTTCCAGGTTAAACTTTGTTGGAGGACGTGATGGACTGTTCCCTCGATTCCTGGGCATGGTGAACGTACAGCGGAGGACACCACAGCCCTCCATCATTACTCTGGTACGGCAGCTTCCACCTGGGGAAGGTATCAATATTCAATTAAGATATTCAGTAATCCAGCATGACAGACACAAATGTTTGACCTGCATGTTCAGTGTGAGAACAGGTACTGGTGACTCAGTGTCGATCAAATTAGTTGAATTATTGCACTTAAAGCTTAAATCCAGTTTTGTGGATTATTGAAATTACGTCCGGTTTTCTGAAATTCTAGACACGGCTTAACCTGGAAGTAATGCAAGATTATGTGATGATCTTGGACAATACACAAATTGGGAACAATGAAAATGAAATGGGGTTTTAAAACAAGTTCAAGTACTTGCATCACGTACAATGTATGTAAGCATTACAACCTCTCTGTTTCCCTTATTCCCTCTCCCTTGAAGATGCTTTACCTTGTGATAGGAGCGAGGCTGTATTACATTGACATTGAATTATATCGCTGTGCAATTCCTGTTTGCATTATTTTTCCAGGAACCAGCAAACATGTCTAAAAGTCAAAGTATCATTTATTTTTCGTTGCCATTTCAATGTTGTACAGTTCGTGGTTGCCATCATACTCATGTGTCTTGGAGATGTCAGGTCTGTCCTCGGAGCATACTCCTTCTTCAAAGCAGGAGGGGAGTTTTTAGGCGTTCTGGGAATTTTCAGAATTCGACGCAAACATCCAGCTACCAAACAGACATATAAGGTACACCTTATTAAATTTAGAACCTTTTTTTGTATGCTATATTGCGACTTGAATCTATCAAGTTGTTCTTCTTCATCAGGTTCACTGGGTGTTCCCCGTCACCTATGTTGTTTTTTTCCTGGTGTTGTCCATCACAGCTGTCGTGTACGAGCCTGGAACATACATAGTCCCCTTCTGCATCATGCTGCTGGGTGTCCCCCTGTACTATCTGTCCAGAAGTCGCTGGGGGCAACGTGGGCATCTAGCAACACTTAACAGTATGTGTAACGTCCATACCCGCAACCTGTTCCAGTCTTTGTATGTCGCATACCCTACACAATGGCAGATTACAAGAATGAATTTCCTTTCCTTCACCTCCTGTAGTACCATGCTTATGGTATCTGTTACATATAATGAATATTAATATTGCCACAAATACAAACGTTGTAAAAAAAACTTTGAGTTGTCATGTTATGAAAACTCTCTCTTTCGGAATGAAACCAAAAAAATTGCTGATGGATGTTGATTTCTTTGTTGCAGGATGGGTAATTATAATCTGCCACCGACTCTTGTTATGTGCGCATGCCTGTCAGGAAGCTGCCTGACAAAGATGAACTATATATTTCCTCCGTGGTGTGTTAATAGGAAGTGTAGAATCTACCCCAAGTCCTATCAATATGTATGAAGAGACAATCACATTATCCATGTGAAGGCACTTACGTCTAACTTACAGTGTACCCTCTAATACAGGACATGTGTAATTATCTTGCCTCACACATAAATGTCGTTTTCTGATTGGCTGAGCGCTCTTCTATTATTTTTAATGTTCCCCGCTCACAAACGAGTAACATTTTCGATGTAACCCGCTGGGAATGCCGAACTCATTTGGTACTTCGTAGTAGTAATGCTTTATCTCGAATAACATTGAATCACGGAAATTACCGATGTTTTGCAAATGCAAATCGATGGAAGGGAGGTAACTCTAAATTTGTTATTCTTGTCGTCTTGTCGTCTGGTACGCATGCTTCAAACACTTCAAAATTACCATTGAGGTGTAAGACTCTGGTCCCTCGGGGCCCATGGGTTGATGCATTCTCGTCTCACGGAGGTTACTTGTCATTTCTTCCTACGAACCTCTGTTCTAATACGGTCATATTTCCCGGTTCTCGTAAAATCCCCTAGCGGCATAAAATCGCAACACGAATTATCTCCCTTCTTTCTGTCCAATCAGAACACGTGTTACATCAACTTGACTAATACAAGCAAATGTTGGGTCACAAATATCCCTCCTCTGCCAGGAACGTGTGTTGATGTGACGCACATGACATTTAATGGCTAGCTTGTCTGTTGTCAACGAGGGCGATGGAGACGCCATTGATCCGCCATTTACATGACTGAGTTTTGTCTATAAGAAACGTTTGCGCATCGCGCAGGGAAAAGAGGTTCTAGTTTTCCCGAAGCATACGGAAAAAAACGAGGCCTTGCGAATGATAACTTTTGAAACAACGTCGCTGATTGCACAACTAACTCTGATTGCAACCAATCACGAATCCTGAACACTCGCACCATGAAAGGGCGTATTAGAACAGAGGTTCGTAGGAAGATATGACAAGTAACCTCTGTGGGAAGAGAATGGGGTTGATGTACCCTCGATGTTTCTTCAAACATCGAGGGTAGATCAGTCCATGTCCCCCTTGTGGACAACTTATAATGTAACCTATCGTCAAAGAGCAGGATCCTTAGATTGTGCATTTTTCGAATATGTCTTGTTAAACTATATTGTTTGTACTAAACAGAACTGATTAAACAGTTAAATTATCACACTGACTGCAGACTCGGCATATTCAAAGTATAATCTTCACTATTTCATGGCGTGTGTTATTTGCACCAGTCCCAAAGACGTTAAAATCATACACTTTCGAACATAGTCCCGTATTGCATTCATTTACTTTTGCCAACAAAAGTGGGGGTATTTTATCCTAATTTGGGGGAGGTACTTCTCTTGACCAAACTGTCTTCCACATGTGCTATCAACATGTACTGGCTTCTGACAAGAGAGTTCTTTATGTTTGTGAACATATGGAGGTCTGAAGAAGCCAGACCATGTGAACGAGGTGGGTGCCGAAAGAGTTAAGGCTACAACTGTGGATTGTATTGAGTGAGTGAGTGAGTTAAAATTATCGTCACAAGGATTGTAGCATTGTCCATGACAGATTGTGCACAAGAGCAAATGTACTTCCAAATCGTTGCAAGAACATTTTTGGATGAGCTTCAAACAGGGCCAGCTCACCATTAGACATCTTGTTCCTCGAGCGTGTTCGATGTCCTACGTTTTGGAATTTTAAGATCTGACGCTTTCTCCCTTGACAAAGGAAGTAATTTTGGAATGTACTCTGTCCTGGGAAATGCCTATTGAACAAGCTATATGTCACTCAGTCATTCCAAAGTCGGTCATCACCATATCAGGAAATCTCCTATGTTGTTTCAGAAGTCGTCTTCAAGCTATTCCCGTATAAACACACTGCTGCACAACTATTTAAAGTTGGAGACGAAGTTGCACGTGTTATACTTCATGGATGATGTGTAAATCCTTAGTCAGCAGGCAGTTGATCACTGTACGTTTCGTATGATTTTCCACTCTCACACTCCTGCTTCTTGCACTAACTTCTCGCATCGACCAAGGTGGCTCGACTGACTCATGAGGCTTTGAATGTTGAAACCTTGATCAAATAAGTTCTAAGCAATATTGGTATGACGCTCTTGAAATCATAGTGAAAACAGCATACTCGATTGTACTCCAAAAGCTGTGAAATGTAAACTGAAAGCTGGAACTGCTGGAATATTTCTCGACATGAAAGGAACGTTGACTATTGGGAAGTTGAAATCACCCCTTTTGTCATACAGCCTTGTGGAGAGTTTTTTCAGTCAAACTGAATCTTTATAAATAGATTTACATATGAAACAGCCATGGCATCATGTGCGCGTGCTTCTTGGCTGGACGTTCTAACTAGTGTCAGTTAAATACTATAAGTGCATCTGATATTAGCTATACCTAGTATGATCATACTTCCTTGGATATCTATGTATAGTTATTTCGAGTGTGCTCTCCCCTCGACCTTCAAGCATATAAGGCTCTTCATGACAGAATTTTAGTGTGCACGTTTGCACATATTTATTTATGGGATGATCCTATGGTGATGCACATCAAGTCTCATCATGGAAGCAAACAATTCAGCAGCTATGTTGAGCGTGCCATGATTTAGAACGGAATCTCAAATTTGAGGTTGATTTTGTTGATGGTGATGCTCTACTGGACGGTACTATGGTGATCTACCTTCAGTTGTTGACGATCTACAGCCCGTGTTTTATATTGCATTGTCTTCTTTACTTAAAATATTTTAGTTTTACATGCTAGCTTTATGTTCATATCTGTGATACTCTAGTAGTTTTACGGTCCATCGTCGACAAGTTTTCCTCGCCAAAATGTTTTCCTTTTTATTGTATAAATTGTTTTCGTCACGATATGGCTGAGATATTGCCGATCTGACGTTAAGTATTAACTCACTCCCTCACTGGACGGTACAGCGGTGAGAGTAAACCAGGTGAAGTCCATCACCAAGTCTGCCCAGATTCGGTCATTTCTAGAGAAGCTTTCTGAGAAGGCATTGCATCGTGTGTACATGCAGAACATGTGTGTACATGGAACAGAATAGCAAACGAACCGAGTCCTTCACCTGGATGAAATCGGCTGGTCTTAAATGTGAAACAGAAGGCTTCCATTTTGTTGCTCAAGACCAGTTACTTCCCACTCGCAATCGCCAAGATGTGATTCTAAAAGAAAATATTTGCATGAACTGTCAACTGTACAATGAATTCACAGATAATGTCCAACACCTTGACAGTGGATGCTCTTCCTTGGCACAAACAGCATATCTTTAACGACATGACGGCATTTCTCGTTGCTTCGCTGCACTGACCCAAGTGGTCCAATCTGTCACTTTTTACAAGCAGAAGTTGCTGAAGATCTAGTCCGACCAGATCTTAACAGATAGATATACTACTGTAGTTGTTTGTTTGATTCTAAATACTTTTGCATACAAGTTTCTTCTTAACTTAGTGTTTGGAAATCGATTAGAACTCGATACGTAAGAGGAATAAACGTGGGTTGAAATGAAAAGAGTGAGAGTGAGATTTTATATATTACTTGTTTTGGGTTTAACTGTGTAATTAATGTATTTTTTTATTCATGTATGATCTTGTGATATGTCATAGTCGCTGTCATAGTCGCTGAGGGATCCTCTGATAAACAACATCTTGAATATAGAGTTCCACAAGGTTCCGTCCTGGGGCCAGTCCTTTTTACTTTATATATTAAAGAACTTGGATCCATGATAGACAGCTACTCCATTGGTCGGTAACAATATCCCGAGAACTCCCAGTTAAACAAGTTACTCCAACCTTCCCCTACTAGTGCTCGTGAAGCAGTCCTGCATCTGGCTGAGTGCTGCAAAGACATCAAATCCTGGATGTTTCAGAATAGACTGAAGCTTAATGATTCAAAGAGTGAATGTATTCTGGTTGGCACTAAACAACATCGCCGAGAGACGAATATTCAAAACTTACCTGTTGGGAACGCCCTCATTCCAGTTTCTTCCACTGTCAAAAATCTTGGCATTAGAGTGGACTCTGACCTCTCACTGGACTCTCACGTCAACAACCTTACAAAAACTGCTTTAAGAAACATCGGGAACATTCGCAAATACATGTCTACTAGGTTTGCAGCAACTCTCGTCATCTCACTGGTAACATCCAGACTCGACTATTGCAAGTCACTCCTAGTGGGCGCCACCAATGTCCAGCTGATGAAGTTGCAACGAGTGCAAAATGCAGATGCCTGCTTGATATGTTACCTGCTGTCATACTAATGTATATAGCATTCATGTTCTTGTAATAAAAATACCCACTCATACATGTTGAATTTACTTGAAGGTGTAATTATACAGACACATTCTCCATTCAGACAGTCTCCATACAGACACAATCTCCATACAGACACATTCTCCATACAGACACGATCTCCATACAGACAAAGTCTCCATACAGACACAGTATCCATACAGACACTATCTCCATACAGACACAGTCTCCATACAGACACAGTATCCATACAGACACTATCTCCATACAGACACAGTATCCATACAGACACTATCTCCATACAGACACAGTATCCATACAGACACTATCTCCATACAGACACAGTCTCCATACAGACACAATCTCCATACAGACTCAGTCTCCATACAGACACAGTCTCCATACAGACACATTCTCCATGCAGACACAATCTCCATACAGACACAGTCACTATACAGACACAGTCTCCATACAGACACAGTCACTATACAGACACAGTCTCCATACAGACACAGTCACTATACAGACACAGTCACTATACAGACACAGTCTCCATACAGACACAGTCTCCATACAGAGACAGTCTCCATGCAGACACAGTCTTCATACAGACACGG